ACTGGCGACCTGTCCAGGGTGTACCCCACCTCTTGCCCGTAGACAGCTGGAGATAGGCACCCGCACCCCTTGATTCAAAGTTGTCTTTCTAAGGAAAACCAATTGATTGCATTGACTCAAATTCAATCCCTCACACTAAGCCTACTTGTATCAACAGTGGAGAGGAAAACTCCCTTTCAACAGGAAGAAACCACCAGTAGAACTAGGCTCAGTGTGAGCGGCCATCTGCTGCAGCCGACTGGGGTTCAAGGAGACAGAAGCAGAGATACAAAAGGCAACTGTAAAAGGCGGACCCCTCCAGGAAACACACAGGCAGGCAGACGAGCTCCGAGCTAGCTCCCAAGTCAGAGGTCGAAGATAGCACCTCCAGCCAGTCACAGTCAGAGAAACAGGACTACACTGGAAAAAACAGGCCAATCTCCAACATCTATAAACAAAGGTGTTAAAGGCAGCAGAATAGTTGATATTTCTCTCCAGCATGGTGTCACAGCCAAACAAAAAAGATTAAAAAAACTGTTTTTAATCATAACTACCATCATTAAGGGTGGAGTCCCCCCCCCCCAAAATACCTTCAAACAACACTGGGGCTCTAGATTTTAAAACGTCCGGGTTTATCACCCCAGAAGGCCACAGGGAATGTTTCACTGTCACAAAACTTAACATTCTCCCTCCATGTTTTACAGTCCGATAGTAGAACACTTTGGACCAATTGATTGAGAATTCATGGGGTCACTTGTAAAAGACAACACCACAATAATCCCCTGCATTAAATTCAACAGAAATATGTCTGACCCTGCAGGTGTCATATCTGATTTGTTTAGTTATTGCTCATGTTGAAGCGGAGCCCAGATTGCTGTAAAGAGGCGCTCCGGGTGACCTGACTCATTCAGTAACGGATCAAAACCTCTGAATTCTACACTGGGTTTTTTTCAGTTGGACTATGATCAGAGCAGACCACTCCTTATCATGGCCTTTGTTGTCCTTTACCCACTTTGCAACTAATTTGCTTGCATGGCCAATCATTCCTCAATTAAAAGACTTATTTGTGACCAAGCTTTTACATCTTTGCCAATGTTGACCTCAACCTAATGTTTCTTCCTTTTGATTATGTAAGTGCATCTTCCTCCAGCGGTTCTTGAATTGTCATGTTTAAAGACAATCAAGTTTAAAAACTGTCTGATTCCAGTCAACAGGTAATTTTGTGGCGCATCAACAGAAAAAACTAACAGTTCAAAGAAGAAAGAGGGTAAAAAATGAATTTTCTAAATAAAAAGGATACCAGGAACACTATCGTTTTTCCCACTGAAAGAATTCAAATCAAGGTTGTTGTTGACTATGTCAACTGCATAATAGAGCGAAAACAAAATGGCAATTCAGTCCGATTATCATACTAAAGAAACTGAGAACGAAGTTTCAATTATTTAATTTAGAGCATCAATAGGGATTAAGAGGCGAAAAATTGCACACAGAAATCCAAAGGCTGAGAGGGAAAAAACAAACAGGAAGAGACAAAGAAGAAAAGAAAAATGATAATCAAGAGAGTATAAAAGGCACAGCAAGACAGTATGAAGGAATTAAGGCTGCAAATTTATGTGCAGACTGCAGTGTGATGGTAGTTCTATCTGAACACAGCTGGAAACTCAGCGGATTGGCGTCCTTCATTATGCAGCAGAGGTACGGCTGACTGAGGGACCAGCCTGTTTATACAGCTAAACCTAAATGCAAAGTCGGCGCCAGTCCCTCCACCTGACATGCATGCAGCCGTGCACACAAAGATTAAAGCACTTAACTCATAAGCTTTCATTTACAAATGAACCTTCACAAACCCCCTCACAGCAAAGCTACACATCCAGCTAAACCACTGTCACAGCTCCACGTTTTTACAGATAAGCAGGTTAACTGTTTTACCGAGGTTAATGTAAGCAGAAATGCGCTGTGCAGTGTTTACCTCTGATAAATACACACACTTTCAGATGAAATGCAAATGCACACCCCACCCCCACACAGAGACTCGCAGAATTAAATGTGACAGAAAAGACAGCTGAAACATCACGGATATGTTTTCTTTTATTCTTTGTTCGTTAATTAAAGGAGGAAGGGAAGGGCCAAACAAGCCAGCAAAGAAATAAAAGAAAAAGACTGCATGTCGGAAACTAAATGAAAAACCTTACAGCAAAGTCGGACATCATTAAGAAGGATAAACACAACAAACTGCCAACGCCGAATCACAGTTTCTTCTCATAAAGCTGATTACAGTAAATAGGTGCACATCTGAACCTCTGCCGCCTCTTTTTTGACAGTGACAGATTTCTTTTTTTTTTTGCTTTAAATGTACAGATAATTTCCCAAGGAGCTTAAGAAACAAATAGACACGCTCGGAAAAACTTCAAAGATGCCCATGCTCTCTTACTTGCACAGCAAGATGGAGAATATGCAACATAAAGTGTGATGTCTTCAAGACAAGCTCAAAACACTCAATGCACACAAATGATAAAATTATGGCTCATGATACTCTTAAAGAACAAACGACAACCATATTCCGAAAAAAGGTGCAGGATTGAGAGATTCTGCTTTGAAGGAAGGAAGGAAGGAAGGAAGGAAGGAAGGAAGGAAGGAAGGAA